TGCCTCCCTTGAGGTATTTATACACGCTGATCAGGTCCCCCCTCAGCCTCCTCTTCTCCAGGCTGAACAGACCCAGCTCTCTCCGCCTTTGCTCATAGGGCAGATGTTCCAGGCCTCTGATCATCCTGGTAGCCCTGCGCTGGACTCTCTCCAGCAGCTCCACATCCCTCTTGTACTGGGGAGCCCAGAACTGGACGCAGTACTCCAGATGTGGCCTCACCAGGGCTGTGTACGGGGGGACGATCACCTCCCTCGACCTGCTGGAGACGCTTTTCTTAATGCACCCCAGGATCCCATTGGCCTTCTTGGCCCCCAGGGCACACTGCTGCCTCATGGTCATCTTGTCWTCCACCATGACACCCAGGTCCCTCTCTGCGGGGCTGCTCTCCAGCAGGTCCACCCCTAATCTGTACTGGTGTCCGGGGTTATTCCTCCCCAAGGGCAGGAGCCTGCACTTGCCCTTGTTGAACCTCATGAGGTTTCTCGCCGCCCAGTCCTCCAGTCTGTCCAGGTCCCTCTGGATGGCAGCACAGCCCTCAGGGCTATCAGCTACTCCTCCCAGTTTGGTATCATCAGCAAACTTGCTGAGGGAGCACTCCAGCCCTTCATCCAGGTCGTTAATGAATAAGTTGAACAGGACCGGACCGAGAACTGACCCCTGGGAGACACCACTAACTACAGGTCTCCAACTGGACTCTGCACCACTGACAGCCACTCTCTGCACCCTGCCACTGAGCCAATTCCTAATCCACCTCCCCGTCCACTCATCTATCCCACACCTTTGGAGCTTGCCCAGGAGGATGCTGTGAGGGACGGTGTCAGAAGCCTTGCTGAAGTCCAGATAGATGACATCCACCGCTCTGCCCTCATCTATCCAGCTAGTCACTCCTTCATGGAAGGCGATAAGATCAGAGGATAAAATAATATGAGCTGACCTCTCCCATGGCCTCTAGGAATCCTTGTTCAATGCCCAGGCTATGCCAGCTGACATCCGCAACCATGTGCGAGGCAATTCCAAACAGGAAAGCTACCAGCTTCTCTGTAGCCTATAAAATAACAATATATGTGTGGTAATGACAGTAGTTTTTCACCTGTCTTTAATAAAAAAGAGATGAGTATTTTATTGTGGTCCCTTATACAACAATATAAATGACAAACTCTTACAATCTACAGGCTTAAGCAGGCTTAAAATGCTGAGCACTTGCTTCTTAAAACTGGAAAACACGTTTTGTGACGTGACGAGCTTGAAGCCCTTCACAGAATCCACGGCCACAGAGTCAGACAGCTGATTTCAGGCCAACTCATGCACTTCAAGCTAGATGTAAAGTGAAGTACTCTGTGGGTTGGAGAGACAGCCTCCCACTTCCAAGGACTAGGCTCCCTTTAGCTACCATGGATACTGTGCTAAACATGTGGAGGAAGGCTGGCATTCCTGGGCACTGTGAAAGCACCTGATTAAAGCCCAGGCATGAAGTTACTCATGTTGCTCCTAGGAATAGGAAAGTTATCTGGAATAAATTTATCAGCAACAGACATTTCATTTCTTCAAAAAAGATTTCTTTGCATTGAATCACTATCAGTTCCAGAGGCCTCTTTAAGAGCTACAACAGAGTTTTTGATGAATTTCCACTCCCTGAAAGTTAACAGTATCACCAGAAGCCAGACCAAAGGTAGGCAAACCTCTTTCCATTGTAAAGACTTGATGCTCTCAAATGTTGCTGCTCCAAACATACAACTTGCCTGAGCAGAGTTTAGGGAAGATACAGCAAATTGCCCAGGAAGGGGAAAAAACAAAACAAAGAACCCAAATAACCTTTAAAATCATCCTCACTTTTGACTTTTCCTTTTCTTCTAAATAGCTCATGTACCAGAAACAAACACAAATCAGGACTAAATCCAAGATTTCACAAGTGAGAATTCTAAAAAGAGGCCTAATTCTTCAAGTGGCAAATGTTCAGCCAGATCTGAGACTAGCAGAAGTACCCAAAATTACACACATTTGAAAATCTGAGCCTAGGAAACGTATCATAACAACTGGAACACACTGAGTATAATTAGTACACTTTATGTGACTATTATATTTTTTTTTGCCTAGTAAAGATAGAAACAGGTCTGAAATCTATGCCAGCAGAGATTTTTGCTAACCAAAATTCTGCTTTTTCTCTACACTTCCCAAAGGATGAAATTGCCATAATTTGTGAAAAACAATAGAGGGCAAGCACAAAAGCTAAAGAAATTGTCTTACCTCTTCCCAAGGCTGAGGATAATTCCTTCTGATATACTGAATACTTGCATTGAGAAAGGGTGACCAGTGAGTGTCTTCAGAGACACCATGATATATTCCTATAGCAACAAATTCTATCAGTATTTATTCTTTTTCACAATAAACATTTTTTTCCACATCAACAAACACAGACTTTTACTTGATTCCATCTTGCACAGAAAATACATTTCCTGCTTATGTTACAAGAGCCAAACAGACCTGTATTTATATGATTTACACTGTCAAATGCGATGCCAGAGCTACCTGCCATGATTATGGTCTGAAGTATCTGAAAATGTTGTGCTTTTTCCCTTCTCTGTGCTTGTGAGTAGGTTTGACACAAGCACGTATATACCCACATGTACATCATAAAGCTCATTTGGTAGAGATCATAGTGCCTTTGTCCTGTTTGTTGGCTGCTCACTACCCTCATTTTGGTAGGAAAAAATCCCGGACAAAACTTTGCCTGGCTGATTCTAGTACTGCTGGGGAAGCCAGTTTTCACAGTCCAGGTTTCACCTGATCAGATAACCAGCTGCAAGGCAAGACATACTCTTCTATGCAAAGCTGTTTCTGTAATGCAGCCTTTAGACTTGCAAGCACCACAACAAAGACTGACAATTATTTCAAACAGGGACCAGTGTAAGGCAAGAGCCAGCAGAGGATTTCTCTTGTAAAACAAAGGCTTTAAGATGAGATGCTATTACCACTTTTTTTTTCATCGTTCTCTTTTTTTTGTTTTTAAATATTCTTTTATCATCTTTGTGACTGATGTGATAAAAACTAATAATTCCTAATACAGAAGTTAACTCTGTGCTTTCTCCAGGACTTAAAAAGAAGGGATCATTTTCTCAATTTTCCCCAGGTCAGTATTCAGTAATCTGACCTAATTCAACCAGATGGCATCCTTCTATCAAATTGCCCCATACCTTAAATTTAATAGCTATAATTACCAAAAGGCTATTTTCTAATAACATTTTATAATCTTTTATTTTGTTATAAAGTTCCACAAAAGAACTCAGAGTACTAATAATAACTGTGAAAGTTTTTGCAGGAAAGCATTTATAGCCATACTTCAATTCTTACAACACTACTGGTTTATGACCCTCCCTATTAAATTCTATAGGGTTTTCACACATCAATAAAGTTGTTCTATTAATATAGGACTTAAATATCTTTTCTCACCATTTTTGCAGATTGATGGATAAAACGCATCAGGATAAATGCTCCCAGCCTGAAATGCATCTTGGTGATTTAGTAACAACTGGGAAGAGGAAGGATGGGGGAAAAAAAAATCAGAATACTATTGCATTGCACAGAAGCAGTTTTCTGTCAACACCAAAGACAACAATTAAATTCTGCCAGCAAGATACAACTCTTATCTTGGTAAAATACATCATTTATGTGGTCCCCACACACACAAGCACACAAAGCCTGTACCTGAAATCAAACTAATCAGCATACACTGTAATTTGAGTGACCCTTGAGGAAGGTAGGATCTAGCTTAGGTGCCAGTGAGCCTGCCTTTCAGAGGTGCCCTCCTCTGGACTGCTAACTTTCATCCTCCAAATCATGCCAATACTATTTACATCAGCAAGAAAACGGGAAAATGACCTAAGTAATGGGACAAACACAAAACTTGTCTATCATTTTGATATCTTTATTAACATCACCTTTTGAAAAGTCTATTGACTTTATTGATTCTTCTAATACAACTTCAAAGATGATACAATTTAAGGTGATGGCAAAACATGCATGTAGAAAATATGCAAACCTCACACGATATATCATAATAAAACTATATTATAATTACTGCATATTCAGTAGGAATTAAGTATTTTCCAGCAGCAGAAATGGTAAAACCTACTGCAGGTACAAAAACCATACACATATTACTGAGAGTAAATAATAAAGGCAAGGAGACAAACACACACAAGAAAGACATACAGAATTAAACAAAAATATGCTTCCTACCTGTCTGTAGTTAACATTCCCTTCATGCTTGCTGAAAAATTCCAGAGCTCTATGTGCTGCAAAACAACATATCAAAATATTGATTTGTAAGCATTGTGGCTAAGCCCATGTTTTATTAGAAGCATTACCAAAATGTAGAATAGACCACATTGTCACATCCAAGCCAAGTGGCTCAGGCATATGAAACAATCACTTCCCAAATAAATTTCGTATGGATTAGAGGGGATGTTTTCTCATCTAAGGATTTAACAGAGAAAGGTCGTTTCCTCGGCACATCTGGCACTGTGGTCTCACCAGGCTCTACTCACTCCCCAGCTCCCCAAGTCACCAGCACAGATGGAAGTGCCCTGCAGCACGAAAAAGGGACGCTCTACATCCAGATGTGAACTGTGGCAATGAACTGACTCTGATGAAAACCCAGCAGATAGAGAGAACACATCAGACAGCTCCACGGCTCTCCTAGCTTGGGCAGAGAACCCATGTGAAGGGTATTTCAGTTTCACTGAGGCCTTGCCCATTTCAAGAAAGGTACCTCTGGAATCCACTTGAAAGTTTAACAGTTTGATTAATATTTAACATGCTAAAAAACAAGAAAAATGTGAAGTCTGCAAAGTAAATACCACTATTTACTTACTGAATAGACAGACATTCCTGCTGCCAAACTAATTATTAAGCGAGCATCAAACAAGAGAAAGAAAGAAACACACTTGTCACTTTTTATGAAACCTCATTCTAATGTATGCTAAGTCCCAGAGATGATCCAGCAATAGCATTCTAAAAATACATTTTTCAAAGGAACACTGCCTCCAAAATGACTGGGTTGAAGCTACAAACGCTAAGTAATCTTCTCACCACACCACACGAAGTTTTCCTCACCCCTTTAACTATTTACAAGCTAAGCGTGCTGTGCCTCCCCAGCCAGCGTGCGGAGCCGGTTAAGCCTGCAGCGAGCGAGGCCGGGCCGCTGCGGAGGCCTCTGCGCTCAGAGCTGCTCCGCTCCGGAGGCCGCGGCGAGCGGGAGGCGCCGGGCGCTGCCGAGCGCACCCAGCGTGAGCCGCGTTTCGAGCGGCAGGGCCTTCGGTCTCTTTGAAGCTCTTTCAGCACTGTGTGGGTGCAGGGGAGACTCTGCTGCTGCTTTGGGGTAGGGGTTTTTTCCTTCCTTTCTGCAGTTTGGTCAATGTTTGCATTTGGCAATACCTTTCAATGTCGTATCATCGTGGGCTTTTATTTGCACACGCTGATAAAAGGACTGATTTTAGCAGCATCAGAACTGAAACAAAATCCTTTTCGGATATTTTTTGTCATAAGCAACATCATTTTTGGATAATTTTTGTCATAAGCTATGACTCATTATTTAAAAATATAGGCTACTCTTTAGACAAGCAAGATCTTTAAACGAAGTATGTGTGAGCGTTTTACATCACTCTTCATTGGTTAGAAAAATAATTGGAACATTTCTGCAAGATTTTGTTTCCCTTTACACAGATCTTGCAACCGCACTGTATTCTGTCCAATTCATCCCTTCAAGGTTTTCAGAAGTTCCTATTCCTATTGGGGTTCTGAACTTGCAAAGATCCATGCATTTGCCTGGCTGCAGGAGGTGAGACTTATCCTACTGATTGCTATGGGACTCTTCACGTATCCCTCACTCCCTGATCCGTTCCCTCGCAAATAAACTCCAGGAATCACCCCAGCTTGTACCAGGCTCGGGGCTGCTTGTGTTCAGGACCTACAGTCTGAGAAGACCATCTGAATACAGGTTACTTTGTACGTCTTATTTTCCATCCGGCTCAGCAACAAGCTTAGAACCAGGAGAGGAAGAACAAATAATGGAAACCATCAATTGCTGTTTGTTTCAAGTCCACGTTTCAGAATAATCTCATTCTGCCCAAGAGTGTTGCCACCAGAGCTGCCACAGGAAACACATTTAAGAAAATAACAGACACAGCTAAAACAGGACTGTTTTCCCACTGAGTCGGTCACTCCCCGCAAGAATCTTTCCATGGCCCTCTGCCGCTCTAGGTTGTTTCGGCCACAAATAACAACCTACCCGAAAGAGGCACGGAACAAAGTTTCATTAAGTCAGTCACAAATACAAACGCAGTGTAGCAGTTCATCTACTTTACGCAGTTAGGACAAACAATTAGCACAAAACGCCAGAAATGACCCATGCGTTGATCTCCAGCGGACGTTTGGGAAGGACAGGTCAGCAGCAGGTGTCAACATTAAGCGATCCCCCATTTCTCCCGCCAAACCGTGCTTGTGTGAGACCTGCAGGCACCGAGCACCCTCTGCAGAGGGAAAAACAGGCAACGGCACTGATGCCACGTGCAGAAACAGCGCAGCTAAGGGCGAAACTCCCAGCGCCGAGCGCCACTCCATCCTAGGTTAAAACACAAGGCGGGATGTGCATCCTTTTCGCAGCAAGCTGAACTTCCTTTCCTGGAGGCGCAGGGGAACGGCCTGCCAAGGCACCTTACCTACTTCAACGTGCGTGGAGATGCCGCAGGGCAGGCTGCGCGGGCAGAGCGCGCCGAGCAGCACGGCCAGCAGCGCCGCGCTGCTCCTGCTGCCACCCATGGCGCCGACACCTTTGGAATGGACCTGTCCAAACGGAGGCTTCGCCGCGGGCCCCTTCCCAGCCGCAGCGGGGCATGCGAGAGGCCGCGCTCTGCCAGCGCTCGCCTTCACCTCACACGGGGTTATTTATAGGGGGAAGGCGGGAGCCGGCGGGCGCTGCCCCCTCCCGAGTCACGCAGGGGCCCGGCCGCTCGGGCGGTTTGGCCGCGGGCCCCGTGCGCGGCAGCATCTTCCCCGGGACACGGCCCGGGCCGGGGCCAGCGCCGGGCAGCGTCCCGCCGTGCAGGTGCTTGGCGCCGCAGCGCCACGGGCCACAGAACAACGGCGAGCAACCGCAGAACTGGAAAAGGGGAGAAAAAAATAAAATAAAATAAAATAAAATAAAATAAAATAAAATAAAATAAAATAAAATAAAATAAAATAAAATAAAATAAAATGTATACGATAAGTTTCGTTTCGCTGTAATCTAGCGATGGGCGGCGCGGGAGCCGCTCGGGGCCCGGCCGGCGGCGGCTCCGCCTCCCGGCGGGGCTGGGGCCGGGCCGGGCCCGGG